TTGTTGGGGAGAGTAAAAAACCTCCCAACCCCGCCCCCCCCCCCCCCCGGAATGATCTCATATAGACATATTTCACTGTGCCTTCTTGCAGTTAGTAGGTGGGGGGTGGAGAGGGATGGAGGCTGGCAAGTCCCCCGTAGCTGGCTTTGCAGAGCTGAGGGCCTGGCAGCTCTTGTCCCAGTTTCCTTCTGGACCTGAAGGATAGATTATATTTGAAGCAATTATATTTTTAACTGGAATCTGTTGATAGGTAGGGAGGGTAGAGGGAAGGCTGAGGGCTGTTTTTGCATCCCTGACTTGTAACAGTGGGTGTACAAGTATCGATATTTTCTTGGCGATAGTAGATCAGCACAGGAAAACTTGTTTTTTTGCTGTAGAATGACAGAATTACGGTGGTATGCGTTGCCTGGGAGAGTAAAGTCCTGGTATGAGACCTGCAGAAATACGGAGAGCTTGAAGATGAGAGTTTAGTTTTTAATGCTTACCTAATAGGAACAAAACATATGACAGGCTACACGTGCGAAATACAATACTTCCTTAATTTGTAGTTTCTCTGCTGAAGTATGTTGGATCATTAAACGTAAATTAACTGGGCTGTATACATTGTTTAATCTTAAATACAAGGTTGTATTTGAATTGGTTTGACAGACTTTAGCAGTCATATAGTAGAGCTGTATGAAAGTGTTCACAGATTACTGTGTCCTTTTATTAAGAAATGTCTTCCACACGAACGTTCTGGTTTTTATTCTGTGTTCTTTGGCTCTGTCAAAGTGTGATCAGAATTTTCAAATATGGGTGCATAATGATTACACAGCTGCTCTGCTGCTGTGTTTGAGCAGGCATGCATATTTTTTCATTAACATAATGTGCAAATTTATATCATGAATATCATTTATGTTATATCATAAGGAGGGATGCATACTGCACTCTACTAGTAAAGAAAAGGATTTGTTTTGCATGTGCTGCAGTTTTAAAGAAATAAAGTTCTCAGCTGTTCTTAACCTACTGTTACAAAATTGTTGGTAAGTTCAGCTTAAATAACATGCATTTCTTAAAACTGCTGTGCCTCGAGTATGCGAATGCTTATATTTCATAAAAGACAAAGGCTGGTCAATTCTAGTAGCAAGATTAACCAATGTACTTGCCGAGGTTTTTTTTTAACATAGACGGGTTTAGTTCTGGTGAAAGAAGGGCCTCGCTGCCATAGCTGATAAATACCCCTGTAAGTGCCACAGAGTTACATAACTCCCCGAACGTAATAGGAAATGAGTTTGCTCAATGCCTTGTCCATTGTATTTTTAAGGTTGACCCTACACGGTCTAGCCCATTCCTCTTGTTTTCCCCCTCCCCACAATCTCCATTGTGCGTGTAATACTTCCAAAGTTTGTTTTCACAACCAATAACTAAAGAGTTTGCATCATGAATTTCCTGTTTTGCTGTGTCAAATCTTTCAAAGATTGTGCAACTGTGTTCAGACCAGATGAAACAATTTTGTATTGGAAGCAATTTCAGACGTGGCACATGAGTCTTTTTGCAGTCCGTGTTAATGGTTTTCTGTATGTTCCTCTAAAAATATGTTTCAGAGAAGTTACAGTTCAGAAAGGCTAGTGGTATGGAAAGTATGTCAGAATTAAAAAAACAAAACCAACAAACAAAAAACCTTGCATATGTATGTAATTCTATTAAGCTGCAAATGGTGATGCATAGTATTTAGGATATTCCTGCAATGACTTGTTCCGCTCTCTGTCCCTTTAGAGATTTTTCTCCCCAGTAAAAAGTTACCTAGTTTCATCTGAGGCTTTGCGTTTGGTGTACCTCTGTGTTGGGATAGTAAATTGCGGGGTTTTAACCACCCTTAAACTGAATGGTTAAATATACTTCTGTGTATGTCTACTGCACTATCACATTAGAATGTAATAAAATGCTCTGTTGTTTATTTAGTTGTCAAAATGAGGTATTTAAAAATGAGGAATTTCTAGAAAGTGGGGGAAAAATTAATAAAAAAGAAAGAATTAAGCCAGCAGATGAATCATTTAGACTATGGAGCCGTCTGCTGTAGGCTGCTTTAAATGTCTAATGTGAGTATGACGCGGAACACCCTAATATAAGAACCGGACTTTATTTTGTAGTCAGTGGATGGAGAGAGAGAGAGGCATTTTCTGCAGGCAGCTTAAGGCACCCAAGGTAGTGCTTAAACTTAGAGCAAATATTCCAGTGTTTTTGGTGGTTGGCGTTGGAAGGAGGACATTCAAACAGCCAACTCGGGTATTTTTCAGGATCCGTTTTTAAAAACTGAAAGTATGTGGGGATGCAAGTTAGGGATTCAGTTCCAAAACTTCGAGAAACGTCAATACATATCCTCAGATTGTTCATCACTAAGTCATGTAACAATTGCTGTGACATCTGTTGTGTGAAATGCTATTTCATTTATTCTTGCAACAGTTTTGTATATTCATACAGCATAGTCTTTTGCATGAAAAGGATTTTGTAACCAGGTCTACACTAAAACACATGTGGGTTCCCGAAGTATCAGTCTTGTAACACTTCACATAAGGAGGAGAGGGGCCTAGGTAAGGCAGCATCTTGCAGTGGGAAGTTCCTGAATGGAGGGAGATGGGATCGATCGGTGACTCGCAATTTAGCTGGAGGATCGCTTCATTTCTTGTATGTGCTGGAGGGAAGTCTCGGCAAACGGCATTAGTTCAGCCAGCTCTAAGCTAAGCAAAGGGGTGTTTTGACGATCTTTGCCATTGGTTTCTGAAATGCTGTGAAGGCAGACTCGGTATACTCTTGGGAGTTTACTTCATTGTTGTATTTTTTGCAGCAGTTCTTTGTGTGTTGTATTGGTACCTTTGTAAAAGAAGGGGTTTGGTTTAATTGCTTTGCAGGCTATCTGTATTGCCTTGTTTAATTTGGAAAGGAATTGAACAACCAAGACTTACTCTTCCTCAGAATCTTGCAGAAGAATGTTTTAGCTTTCTTTGGTTTGTAGACTGTCAGGTCATATAGCCCTTTCAAAACCTGTGATTTCTTCCCATTTTGCCCCACAGTTGTACCAATACTGACTCTGAATTTCCTGGGTATTACGAAGATACCGCGATAATTCCCCTCTTCTTAAACTAACAGAGAAATACTATGGATTTAAGAAATTTTAAAACATTAGGCTCCAGAGGAAATGAAGTAACAACCCTAAATATCACCTTTGTAGTAACAGTTCCTCTGTGGATTTTTTGTTTTTTAACCAATGTGCGTCTTTAGGCTTACTAATCCCTTATCAAAGTGTGAAAGTGCCTCCAAAGCATTTATGCGCTTGGAGGGACAGGTGCCTGCTTCTCCAGTAAGGTGTGGTAGATACGTGAGGAGTGATATGAAAAGAACTGTAAACCTGTGAGTGGGATGAAGCAGCCGTACAGGTAGGATTAGCAGAACACGTGTGAGGAAGGGGGATCGAGTAGGAGATGGGCATGCACAGAAAAGCCGTGAGCAGAGCTCTGAAAGCGAAGGCAAGTAGTTTGAACTTCATGGGAACTTTGTATATTAAGAAATTAAATAAGTGTGAGCACATCTGTCCTATAGGGAGGTTTTTCTTGCCACTTTCTTAGAAGCAGAAACCAACATAGCAGGGGAGAAGTAAGATTTACAACTTTTTATAGTGTGTTGGGAGGGTCACTGATGGAAATGCACGTATAGACTGAACTCAAAAGTGACTGGTGTTAATGATAAACTCAGGTACTAAGAACTGTGTTTTTTCTGTCTATAACCAGGGGTGCATAAATTACCTCCAAAGGTAACACTAAAGAGATTCAGTTAGCTTGGGTATTTGCATAGGTGCTAGTGATAAGCAGCATATTTAGCAAAATAGTCTTTGCACAAAAATTAACATTCTGATTAACTAATGTTTAAAGTTATAAATTGCACTCTTAAGTAATTTTGTGTGTACTTCAGTTCCTCAGACTACTTCAAATGTTACTTCTAAGAAGATAGAAGTGGAATCAGTGGATAGGTTCTCTAAAACAATTGTTTTATTCTAGCTCTTATGTTCTGGATTCAATTCAGGTTAGCTCAGAATTGTAGTTTTAGCTCACTTAGGGTGAGCTGGATGCAGCTCGTGTGCCATAGTGCAATACTATGTAAGAGGTTAAAAAGCGTGGAAGCTGTGATAAATTCTGAATTTGTGCTGATCTTGTTTTAAAAGGGATTTAAAACTGTGGATCGTGCAATTTTTTCTCAGTTGGGCTTTTTTAGCTGAAATATGATCAGCGTAATGCAGCTGTTTTAAGTCTGTGATGAAAGCCAGCTTAGTGTTCTTTAAAACGTTCTGCAACTTGACAGCTGTTCTGTAGTTCTGTGTTCTGCACTCATGAAAACCATTAGGCGGTTATCTGTATTGGCAGAAAATTACTCAGCATGCCTTTATCTGTAGGGAAATAGTCTTTAGGCCTCAAATATCACCGAACTTAGAATTCATCTGACTTCAAGAGTAACTCTAGATTGCCAGTGCGCAGTAATACAGAATTTTCTTTCCTGGGCTTGTGCACAATTGTGCTGGTTAAACAGTTTCTCAGTTCTGCTGATTGCAATTCTCCTTGGAGGTTGTACATCTACTACAGCGGAACAATTACTTGATACGACCCCAAAAATGTCATTAAAAAGAAGGTAAAATTGAATTTCCTTTGGACTCTAAAATATCTTATGTTGTGTCTGGTGGCTCTGAAATCTCTAAAGAGAATCTTGTGGAAACCAAGAGAGAAATCTGACTGTGTAGCTGTGAAGATGGTTAATATGGAGGGGATCCCCTTCTTTTCAAGATGAAAGAGATACTGGTATATGCTGCCTCTTGTACCCGAAAAGCTGGTAAAGATTCATGACTAATACACAACAGCATGTGTTGAATTATGATGACTAATCTTATTTTTGCTCTAAGTCCTAGAAAACACCTTGAGTATCATTAAAATATTGTCATATAGTTACAGCCTGAATTAGGTATGTTTGTATATTGCAAAATGGTGTATGTGAAGCTTAAAAAAAAGAAAAAAAAGAATTCTATGTCTCCTGAAGTGTTGCAGTTTAAATACCGATATTCTAGTCGTGTGTGAAGACTTGCTGAAGATCATTTGAAATCAAGATTAAAAAATGAATGCTTAATGGCTTCTTTTGTCTGCCCAGGCTGGGTGAGGTGTAAAGGATAACTCATGTCTGGAAGTGGTTGATAACGGGCATTCTTTGAGACAGTATGGTGTAGCTTGAGTAATTCAACTATGACAGCTTGGTGCTCCTGTGATCTTCTATCTAGCTGTACCTTCGTATCTTTTCCAGAGAGCTCTCTCCACTGTGTGTATGCAGGTTAAACCACGACACCCCTTTACAGAGGAGGAGATACTCTTCTTCCATCGTGCGCAGTGGGTTTTTCCATTCTCTTGCAGGACCTAAGGGAAGGATTGCTGTTCATAGAAACAAGCTTGTGTTTTGCTTTCTATTTCTCATAAACCTCATATAACAAGTTCCTCGGAAACTGAACAACTTTGAGATAAGGAGTCTTTTTGCAAGTTAATTCCAGTTAGTTGCTTTAAAAATAAATGACAACTACATTTATTTCAGCTAGCTTCTTTGGTGGGGAAGGGGGTAAGGGTTGAATATGCCGTTGTGGTTTTGTTCTAGGACTACTTTTGTGTTTGCTTTTGAACTTTCTGTTAGTTAAGCTGCTTCACACTTTACATATATAAATGTCTAGCTTTCCTTTTCACTTCATGCTTATCAAGAATTGGTGCATACTCGCTTTTAAATGGAATCAGGAGTTCGCCCTGAATCAAAATGCAGCAGGAAAATAAACAAATGTTGTCCTTCTCTGACTTTCTCCATTCCATACTTTCCCCTTGTTTGTTATCTTGAATCAAGTGCAACCTTGATTTCGCATCCTTTCTTTCTCCTCTTCCTTCCTTTTTGACAAACCAGAGCTCTTCTAGATAAGAACATCAAAGAAGAGAAGAAAGAGGAGTAACTTAGTTCATAGCTAAATACCTACATTTCTTTAGTTCCTCACATATAAGCCCTAAACTCTGGAAGATTTTATGCAGCGTATCAGAAATTTAACATAATTCTTCATGTGTTAAATTTTTTGTTGTTTCAAAAGTATCAGGCTTTTACTTCTTAATATTATAAATAAACAGGTTGTAAATAGGACTTACTTCAAAAGATGATTTTACATTACAAAATATCAACTCTCTACATATATGAAGTTACCAAATAGGATGGAGTTAGTCTTCATGGGTTCTAAGAAGAAACATTATTTGTATGTACAGGTTTTATGTATAAGTTTCTGCTAAAGGGACAAGTTTTAGTAATGTACAGCTAAATATCATTTATTCACATGCATTTTTGTATAACAGGAGTTTAGGATTAGATGTGATTTATCAAGATTTCAGCTTCAAGTGTGATTAACAACAATCATAGTTGTTTTTATTAGGCTCGGGCCTTGGATTTTTGTATGGACTTAAACCATAAAAGATAGTATCTTGAGCATAGTGTTTTGTGATGAAGTGTGGGGTGTGAAAATATGTTTAGGAATACAGATAATATTTACAAATACTCTTCCTCTCTGCAGAGGTTTATTGCCGTATTTATGTTTAAGAGCACAACTGTTTTTAGATAGAAAAATCAAACATTTCTTTTTTCCTACAAAATTTCCCTTTACTGTGTGAACAAGACTCATCTTGTAAACATTTTCTGTAGAAGTCAGCAGTGGTGTAAATACGGGGGGATTTTGGGTGGGGATGCAGGTTGTGGACCAGCATGCCTAGAAATCATTTTCATTGCAGAAATGGAGAAATGGGGTTGACTGTGACTCAGTGTCCAGATAGTTGCTGTCTGGAGTTGCTAAGTGTGGATTTGAAGGTGTTTTTAAATAATTCATTTTGATAATTTGATTACTCTTTATTGTAGTTCTGCCTTTGACACAAAAACTGAGTTGCGTGTGGCTGTAAAGAAGCTGTCCCGACCATTTCAGTCTATCATCCATGCCAAAAGGACCTACCGAGAGCTACGGCTACTTAAGCACATGAAACACGAAAATGTAAGTTGAAGGAGATGGTATGAAAAGTTGGTCTAAAGCTGGACTATCCAGTGAGCATCCAGCATGATTGCATTTAAGGATCTTGTTGCATACGTTTTTCTAATACAAATACAAAGCTTGCAGTAGTCCAAGGGATTATGGTAGTAGAAAAGCATGCAGATTAAAAAAAAAAAACCAAAACCCCAAAACGACATAACCAATTTTGTATTAAAAAGTCTTAATATTTCCTTTAATAATCTGGAAATTACAGCTGAGCAGGTTCCTGCTGTCTTAAGGCTTTAGGACACAGGTGATGTCACTTACAATTTCCTGCTCACTTGCTGTAGTAAGCTGTAATTTTTGTTACGTTAAGAATTTATTTAAAAAAAGGAAAATCTTAAAGGTTTTTTTAGTGTCTTCTGGAGGGTTTTTCATATTTGTTTGTTTTGGCTTGCCTATGTCAGAAGGGTGTGGATGTTCACTAGATTCCTGTAGGTAAAATAGGGAGGAAAAAAGGGTGTGTGTGGAGAATTAGATGGCTTTTCATACAAGCCATCCACTTAAATCGCCAACAGGGAAACAAAGTAGGATGTGACAAATGTTATGTTGAACCATGCTGTGTACTGTCTAACCATTTTTCAATATAACCTCCATTTGGTATAGAAAACAGTCAGTTGAACAGTTCTGTGTGTTTGTGGCATTAACACACCAACATCTTTATATTGCATGCTGTTTGGAGCAAATATTATGTGCAATGGAGCAAAAAGTCTCATAACCTGCCCTCAGCAGAGCTGTCAGAATGTCAAGAGGAAAGGAAGGCTCTTGATTTTTTTTTTTTTTTTTTTTTTTTTGTCCAAGCAAACTGCAACTTAGCAGAAGGGAAATACTGTTTTGGAAGTGGGCTGAGCCAATCTAGGGCCTTTATCTAGCACAAAAAGCCAAACAAGTCTAATTTCCTTGGAAGGTTCTCCTTGGAAGGTCTGTTCAGGACTTCTTCTGTTGTGGCAGTGGTGGTTTTGTGTTGTGGCTCATAACCACTGCAGTCAGCAGCTGGTATCCCTTAAATCCTCTTGGCGTTTTTAGTGTGGCTAACATAATTGGAACTTTTGATGCATATATGTACTATTGTCAACAGTACTTCCTCAGTGCCTCTGTACGATACCATTGCCTCAACAGTAGAGGTAGCATTTGATCCTGCTTAATATCCATCGCCTGGAGTTTTTTGTGGATTTTTTCTCATAACTGAGATATTCTCCAAACAGGAAAGCTTTGAATATCTGTTACCAAAAAAAAACATTCAGCATATCAATCCATTTTGTCTAAGCTAATAAGGTTAAGCAATGAAAATTAGATTGTGACTGGTGCTACAACAGTTCTATGTCTGGCATTCATTAATATTTTTGGATTAGTATTGCAAAGAGTCTACGTAGCTTTGAGAGTAAGGGATAAAAGGAAGTTAAGTTGTTTATATATAGAAATACTTATTATCAGTTCATCGTACCATCATCTATCTGTGGGAAGTTTATCTAGGTTGTGGTTTAAAAATCCTGCAGATGCAGAGATGTTCAGAGCCAGTTCAGGCAGGCTTGTTAGTGCTAGTGTGTTGACTATTCAGATCTCAGTTCGGAAGTAGAAGACTTGGCTTTACGTGGCAGAGAACACACCAGCAAATCTGGTAGCTATGGCGGTTTAAGGTGCTTGAGCATGGGATGGTTTTCTATATCCTCTATCTAGTCTGGTCATGATGATCTTGAGCAAATAAATGGACCTGCAGAGCACTTGAGTGTGTCTGCATTGTACTTTCAAGTTCCAGGAGGCCTTGTTAGCTTGCATAAAGCACAACACTGAGCAGATGGGAGAGCAAATGGGTTTGTTGTCATATGAAGAAATTAATAAGCTCTGTGACATCCTAGAATGCTGGGAGGGGAAAGCAAAAGGTTAGGGGTTGGGTTCTGAATCTGCTGGTGTTCGCGCTTCCTTAGAAGTGAGTCAAGAGATGCACTGCAGAATAACTGTATTTAAGTGTTTGTGAAACTCGATGAAAGATGTGGATAGTTTGATACTGTGCTTTACAGTGTAGCAAGATAAAAATGATACATAAAAAAACCTGAAGCCTAGATAGCAAAATCAGTTTTTGTCTTTTCATGCTAAACTGCGTGGAAAATGTTGATTCCCCCCCCCCCGGTAAAAACTGACATGGAAGAGTCCACTGGAGAAAGAAACTGTAAGCAGGAGAATAATTTTACAGGATGGATGTGAATGTTGGAGTTTAAAGAAGATGTCTGTCTAGAAATGGAGTTGCTGCGATGTATATTAAGAGAGACAGGAAAGTGTTCTCTCTTCAGTTTCCTCAATAAAATGCAATCTATAATGTATAATATAGATTAGACAGAGGCTTTTATTTCCTACCCACTCGTTCTCTTTTCCAAAAACAGTCTAGGTTCCTCAAAGATTTTGTCTTTAATTCTCTGCTTAGAGATAACTCAATTGATTCTGACATCCTTGACAAGTGTAAACAATAGGATAAGAAGGATGGTGCGAGGGAAACACAGGAATCCAACTCTTGGTTTCATATGCATGCTTGAACCATTACTGAAGTGGCTGAAATGTGCGTGATGCTTGTGTATCTGAGACAAGTGAGATGCTGACTTAAAAAGGGAAGAGGAGTTTTTTGGAGGTGGATGAAGAGAACCTGTCCCTTTATCTCATATATTCATAAAACAAAATTTTATTTACTATTAAGAGAAGGAAAGCAAGGTTTAAAAGCACATTCCAGTGAAAATTAGAGCAATCTTTATCGACCAGATGGATTTTTTTAAATGCTGTAAATGACCTAGAAGATAATTATGGGATAATAAGGTATAGTTATTCTTTTCCACAAGGTAACACATGCATATACTTTTACTCTCTACTGTTAGAACAGCTCAGCTGTAAAATGAAAGGTGGAGTAGCTGCTCTTTGGGCAGAAAATGCAAATGATGGTGTGAAGCTGTGAAAATTGGGTCCTCGTTGCATTGCACTGTTTTCCTGACTTATTTTCTACCGTAGTCATTATTATTCATTGCTTATGTTACAGATCCTTGAATTTTTCTAGCCATTACTCAGTACAAGTGAAACAAATACAGTCTCCCAATTCTTATTTTAGTATGTAGTCAACAGTATAACTAAGCATTGAGCAGGAAGCAAACAGTTTTGTCTGGTGGTTGTTTTTTTTTGTTGAACAAACTTTAGTTGGTTTTTGAAACAAGGTATTCTAAACCAGTGTTTACACCTGCCTTTTGTTATGGCTCCTGTTTGATGCTTTAAGTGGATGGCTGGTGTGAAAAGACAGCTGTATGTTTTTAACCTTAATATTTTTTTTTTACACAAGAATTGAATGTTTGTTTCTGATGTTGTATGAATACTAATTTGTCTACATCTGAATGATTCATGTAGTTGAAAATGAAACATCTATTCCACAAAGGATCTTATTAACTGTATCATATTATACTATGAATGTATTTCACCCCTTTTTCACTTTACTGTTTTCTTTGTAGGTGATTGGTTTGTTGGATGTGTTCACCCCTGCCAAGTCACTAGAAGAATTCAATGATGTGTAGGTAACTTCTCTGAAGACTGCAACAAAAATCTTCTGTATCTTCCTTACATCCCCCAGATTATTATAGAAATATTTGCCACCTTAATTTGTCTGCCATCATTCTCAAACAATTCTGAATTCCAACACAAAAGATACTAGGACATCCTAAACTATTGGACTCTTCGAACTTGTTCACTTGTGTTTTATTGACCAGTGCTCTAGGAATCAGCGTACTAATCTGCTATGTTATTTAAAGTGTCGTGAACTATATTTCATTCAGCAACATGCTTTGGGACAGTCAGCCCTGCTACTGGAGCTTCACAGGGAATTTTTATCTTAATGCTGTTGAAGGGATTGCTTCATAGCCTGTGTGTTTCCTTTTGTTCATAGGTACTTGGTGACACACCTTATGGGAGCAGATCTGAACAACATTGTGAAATGCCAGAAACTCACCGATGACCATGTGCAGTTCCTCATATACCAAATTCTTCGGGGACTGAAGGTACTTGCACCTGTCCTACCTGAATGTTGATAGCTCATCAACGGGAGGTGGAAGTTCTTGATGAATGTCATATCCTCAGAGATTCATATGAGTACATAGCGGGGCTTCTGTGACTTTGCTAACGTATCGTAGGATAACCTATTATTATTGTTCCTTCCCTCCGTACCTCGGAGCTCTGTATCAGTAAAGCTATGTATCATTTAAGAAAGTATTTTATATGTTCCTATGGGCAGAGTCTGGAAAATTATGAAGTATGCTGCCCTCTAATCTGCTCTGACTATGAATCTTCCATTTCTTCAGTTTTGTTTACTTGTGTTGTTCCACGCGTGGTGGCAGTGCTCCTGGGTGTTCCTAAGGAGAGACAAAGTGAAACACCTACCTACTTGAAACCCATAGACACTCACTCGGTTCCTTCTGCAGACGAGCTATAGCGTTTGAATTGTGTGGGACGGGGTAGGGCAGTGTTGTCTAGTGAAGAAATGAGAAGAGGGCTACTTGGACTGTTATATAAAATTTATCATCTTGCCTTACAGTACATCCATTCAGCTGACATAATACACAGGGTGAGTATTTATCCTAAGATTGCTTCCTGTACTGAACTGTGATGTCTTTAAGAAACGTAGCACAGAATCTTACAGCGTAGCACCTATAGAAACAAGAAGAAATTTTCCAAGAATTATTTTGGTCAAACAGTCAAAAGGTTAAACATGGGAAGTGGTTGTCAAGGTCCATAGTTTCTGTTCCTGCCCATGTTTTGACTTGTATCTTTGTGAAATAGGTTCTCTATTTGTTAAATATTCATCTACAGCACTGGTGTTGCAATAAGCCTTTACGCATTTTTGCTTATATGTGACAACTCTGAGGACCACAGAAGAGAGAGCTGACTCTGGGATAAAATAATTTTCCCAAGTATGGAGAGTTAGAATCTATTTTCTATCTGCATCTACATTTTTATCTACTTTAGACTTGTGAAACAACATATGTACCACTGTTAATGCTGATGTTGTTTAATTTTTTAGGATTTAAAACCTAGTAACCTAGCTGTAAATGAAGACTGTGAGTTAAAGGTAATGTAATCACAAGGTCTGATTGGTTTGACTGTGGTTTGGGTGAATGCCTTGTGGATGTCCCTTGGAATTAAAGGGACAAAATAATTCCTTATGGAAATACCTCTGTGGCCCAAAGTAATAACATCCTTCCCAGCTGTAAAGGGCTGTAAGGATGTTTTTTCTGTATCCATTCATGTGTTTTTAATGAATCATCATGAAAGTGAAGAGTTAACAGCTTTAGTTTGGGTTTAGTTGTTTTAGAGAGAAAATATCCAGACGTAATTCTGATTGAGTCCTACGCTGTTCTAGGCTAGTGTCTTTTAACAGGTTGTGAAATTTAGTTTCATAATCTGCTTTTGCAGTTGCACCACCTCTCCTCCACCCAATCCAATAACTGCCGAGTTATTCGCTCTAACTAGTTTGCATTGTTCCACTGCAGTAGTTAGTGGATGTCTCTTCTGTTCTGTAGATCCTGGATTTTGGCTTGGCCCGACACACAGATGATGAGATGACCGGGTATGTGGCTACCCGGTGGTACAGGGCTCCCGAGATCATGCTGAACTGGATGCATTACAACCAGACAGGTAATGCATTTAACTAACACAAGGCTTTTCAGTTCTTGAATTTTGGAAAAAAAGAGGTTTGTCCTCTGTCCGTGCTCCTTTCCATTTGATCGCGTAAGTTGGCAGCCGTGGTAATTATGCTTCAGTAAGGGCGATTGAAAGAAGGAAGGCATAGAATTATTATTTGAACCACAGCCTATCAGATGTAAGTTAAGAATCATTGTGATAGCATTCACAGGACTTCTTTAAACTTGAACCTTTGAAATTGCAATTGGCAAAATATTGTCAGCACTTATCCCTTATTTTTCCTAGCACAGTGGTTTTTAAAGTAAGTGAATGGAATGTGTCTGGATGAGGAGAAGGTGTGTTTCTAGGAAGCTGCTGGGAATACGCTGAAAAATGTCTGGAGTTATGGTGTGAAGAAATGCTAAACAGTATATAAATCTCCCTTCCATTCCTCTCTTCTTAGCCACTTCTTCACAGTTGTATCTTCCTCACAGTTTCCAGTATCTTCTCAGCAACACACTGTGCTTCCCTACAATACTTCCAGATCAGGCGCAGAGAAGAAAAGCAAGTGCTGAGAATAGTTCTTGTACAGGATCAAAGAAAATAATGTGCTACTCTGATTTCATACTTCATTACTTTTTCTTCTTTTCTCTTTTCCTCTTGCATGTATATGGACTTGTCTTGTATCTGTAGTATAATAGTTGGCAGTGGTTTGGGTAGAATTTACGTAAGGCCATTTGCAAATTCATTCCTCAGAGTTGTCTTGAACAGGTTTCTTCCTCTTTGATTGTGTAGATTCCTCCCCAGCTCTTTGGTGTTCAATGCACGTTATACTCGGGAAGGAAAATTTGCCTGATCTAGTATTCTGTTATTTGGACAAGTCTTAGACAACATAGTTACTGAACAGTATTGGTTAGCTTGCAATGTATCTCAGATAGTTTCAATGCCATAAGACTATTTAAGGATAAAGTTGTTTGTACTTGTTGGATAGGGTGATTCTACTGAGACTTTATTTTTCTGCATTACGTTGTTTTGTTTTTTATTTTATTTTGTTCAGTTGATATTTGGTCAGTGGGATGCATTATGGCTGAACTGTTGACTGGAAGAACATTGTTCCCTGGTACAGACCGTATCCTTTAAAAGTAATATATTTTTTGAAATGGAAGTTAGAGATCTTCACTTTCACGTGCTTCACAAGAAAAGAAGTTCTGGGTTTGGTTGTGAGTTTTTGTTTGTTTGTTTGTTTTTAAATTAATGGCTTCTTTTACTCACAGTACGATGAGGTGAGTTCTTGATTTTGCTGCACATGAAACAATGACGGTGTGCAAGAAGGCAAATCTATTCCTCTTTATTGTCTATTAGCATCACTAGAATTATTCACATGTTGTTTGTTTCTGGGAGTTACTTTCCTTTAAGTTTATTTAAATTCATTGCTCTTTGAGTTTGTAGAAAATAACTGCACGGAGTAGGCTGTCTGCTAAGAATCCTCTCACGCTTCAGGTTTCTAGCAAATGTGAAGCATCCCTTCTGGCCTCTCTTCTGTATCCTGGCGGTGTGCTGTGAAAGCAGTGGGTTTGCAGATCCTTTAGTGCCAAGGATCTCATTCCAAATTGCTCTGAAATGTTTAGGTTCTGCTTCCATGCTTGAGCGTAAACAGATTGTGAGCCTTCTTTTACTGTATGCTTGTATTGATGTGATAAAGTTCACATCAAGATGTGAATAACATCTTTCCAAAATTATTTTTTTGCTGCACCAAAGTGGGCTGGGTAGGACGCTTTGGCAAATTTATGAGAGCGCACTTTGTGAGAGTTGGTCATGATTTTCCCCAGGAAATTAGAACTGAGACTTGATGCAAATTGTTACACTTGCAACTTTTGTTTGTTCAGCCACACAACATATAGGGGTAATTTACTACTGGCAAGATTTTTCATTGCCTGGAAATTGGACTTTATTTGCCAGAGAAAATTACATTGCCCACCTGTTACCAAAGCTTATTCTTTCAACCACAGTTTGTTTATTTTAATAGCTTTTATTAATTTATTAGTGTTTATATCTGTTAATTCTAATATGTTAGCATTTGATTAAAAGAAAACTGGTGCTGGAAGTGCTGTCCTTCCGTGTACTGTGTTACTTCTGGAAAGCATCTAGATTGTAAAACCCTTTGGCAGGGGGGAAGGCTTTCATTCCAGTTTTGACAGTTTCATCTCCCTTTTCAACGTGCTTTAACTTTACCCCTTTTTCTCTTTTTCTGCCTGTCTCTATCTCATAATCTCTCTCCACGTTTCTTGAACTTGCTATACTTTACTGTCTAGTCACCTCTGCTGTATTTTTCTGTTGTCAGGGACAGAAGCAGAACTAACATGAAAGTGGCTTAGAAGCTGGAAGAAAGTTGCCATATTTCTATTGGCTGATTTAGCACGTATAATTTGGTTTGGGCAGATTCTGTTTCTTTCTGTCAAGAAAAAAATGAGAAATCAAGAATTGTTGATTCAAACACAGCAAAAGTCTTTAAGCTGTTGCCACTGTTTAACCCTAGTAACACTTTAGATTTTAAAAATCTTGATACTTGCACATAAGGTATTTGCTGATAGGATTTGCAATATGTAAGAAATGCTTCACAATGTGTTCTTTATGAATTGAACAAAACAGTTATCTTACAAGCATGCGAGGTTTTTCTCCAACTGCGTTCTTAGCGGTGAATTATAGCCAATAATATCCGCAATGCAAAATAAAGTTTACTTTTAGGATCTAAATTGTTTGCTTTGTCATATTAAGATACTTTACTAATTTATATATCCTAGCAGATGCTTATGATTCTTTACCTTAAATTTCTTTTGCAAATGGTAATAACACTTTTGCATTAAATGCTTTTTCTGTTCTAAATTAGTTAGATTTTAAGAAAAATAAGGCCCAATCCTTTCCCGTTGTAGATAAAACTTTGTAGTACTATAGTTCTTACAGTTTGTGTGTGTGGTTCCCCACTTTAAGTAACATATATGCTGTTTGATCATGAGGTTAGAACTATAAGAGGAGCAGGGTTTGTAGTTACAAATCTTGTTTGTGCGTGTAATACTTATCTAAGGATCTAGAAAGGCACCGAGCCGTCAGCTTCCACTCCAGTTTTGCTGACATCTAAAGACAGCAAGCAGAAGTAAGATAACACTGGGTTCTAGCTTCTTCCTGTCTTGGAAGGCTCTTTGAAATCTTTATATATGCATGATTTTTGGAGAAAGTTTTAGGAATTTTCCCGATGTAGATCCTGTTGGGTACTTCTGGGCTCTTAATAATTTCTTTGTACCCACAGATTGGCTGAGGCCTGTATTCCTCCTGCAGCGTCACTATGCAATTGCTGACTTACTGACTTTGCCATTAATATTAACATGCTTAATTCAAGGTACATTTACCATGCTTCTAGTAGCCAAGGATGTAGTATATCCAAATCCACTGCAGTTCTAGGGAATTCACTTTGCAGTTGCAGGCAATGTGACTATATATTCCGTGTGTTCAGGAAGCTGGAAACTGCTGCTGTTTGACAACTGAAAATTTTACGCTCTTGCTTTTTGGTCTCAGGACGTTAATTTTCTCAACTATATAGCTTCACATTTCCAAAATGAAATAGATAGTGACAGAATAGGTAATGCCTTCTCAGGATGAACATCTTCCTGTTCAGGTGGTTCTCTTGTTTGAAATATTGGTCCCTTTCACCAAGGATTTAGCAGAAATGGTGTGATGTTATTTACAGTCCATCAGGTGTTTCTTTGTACTGCCTGGAGATGCCTATATTACTTGTAAGGGGCTTCAGTACAGGCAAGCTGTACAGTTAATTTAATCTGGTAAGTAATAAAGTTGTATTCTGAGATGATGATCTTCAGTGCTGTCTATGATGATTATGCCACTGATAAACTAATGCTGAATTTAGTTTTATGTTCTGAGGGACCTGATCTGTAGAGATTCTGAACATGGCCGTCATTGACTTAAAGCAAGAATTGTAGATACCCTTAGAAAAAAACCCTGTGATTAATATGAGTTTAGCTCTGCAGGATTGTTACACTATTCCTAACTTAAAACTGAATGTAAGCTAATTGAATTGTTCCTATTGTAATCTATGGGTGGAAATATTTGGATGAAAGATGGATTTCTCATATTGGTAAAATCTCTGCCAGGAGGTGGAGAAGGGGAGCAAGATTGTGGGAAAGACTAGTCAGAGGCAAAAAAATTGCGGTAATGAAAATCGGAGTCCTTTGGCCTTTTAATGTGAGGCATAGCTAGAGGCTTTCTTTTTGTTATTATTGTATCTGTCTTATGCCAAGATCAATTTCTGTTAAACATGTATATTAATTTTTTTACAGCTCTTGTAATGTGAATGATTCATACAAATAAGTAGGAAAGTTGACTTTAAGTTTGACAATTTGACTTGCATAAAATGATATAAAGTACAAATAAGAATATCTTGAATGTTTTGTATTAGTTTAGCCAATTTTCTTTTTCTGTATGTTTTAAGTTGACTGTATTCCCTTTAAACTCTGAAGAGTATTTTTATTACTGTTTTTATTCAGTAGTATGAGACTTCCATGATAACTAACCAGTCTGAAAATTACATGTTCTTCTGATACATCTTATTCTTGCTTGTGGTGGCAGCTAAAACGACTTCTGAACTTCGCTTTGCCTGGATAAGCTCTTACAATCTTGCCATGCCTGCTACTGATGGTGATGGCAGGTTGTTTTCTGAATTTTAGAATCACTGAGACTCGTCAGTCGTTGGGGGTACCTTGGTGATGGCATTTGGGGTTTGCATGCTGCGCTTTCCTTCTCCATGCATGTGTTGTTTGTTTTTTTTTTTCCTTTCGCTTTGTATTTACTAAGTCTTTTTCCTGTCTTGTTTTTTTTTTCTTTCACTTTGTATTTACTAAGTCTTTTTCCTGTCTCTAGTTGCTTATGGCTTGTTTCTCTGGGACGTGGTAGCCCTGTAGTTAAACGAATGCTGCAGTTCAGCAGGTTATAGATGGCAGGCCTAAAACTGGAGGCAGGGGTTGGGTTTTGGCGTGCCTATGGCAGTGCCAGTTATACATTCTGTGTTTTCTCTTGTTTATCCGAGAAGTCACTGCAGTATATTACACAAGTATCCTCCAATTGCAATTTTCCCTGGGAAAAGAGCTGACAGCAAACTGGGCAGTAATATTGTTAGCACACCTGGTGCACAAGATTTTAAATGCCTTTAAAAGAATTTAAATATTTAAACTGAGGTATGGCATGTGACTTCTGAGGCATGTTAGCAGTGGATTTTGCACAACTGTTTCTTGCACAAGAATGAGTGAAAGATGTAAGGGCTGTTTTAAATGGCACTGAAAAAAAAGCCAATTTAAATGAGCTAATTGTGGTTAGTATAGCACCCTCTGCTAATTCTCCTGCACCAGTGGATATACTGATTTCATTTTAAGCATTGACAATTAAGAGTTGGCAATTAAGCTAAATCCAACTAGATACATTGGATTTACTCTTAGGTTTTGAGTGTTTAAGTAGGTGGGAGTTGGCCAAGCAACTTGAGAAGTGAGAAATTAGTTCAGCTGTTCTGACAAAGTACTATTTCCAGGGCTTTTAATTCATTTCATATGTAAAACTTTAGACCAAAGTTTACATCAAAAGATAAAGGTTTTAACAAAGTATTGGTGATTTACTTCATAAACAGTTTGCCAGTATTACAGGAACTCCGAGGCTTTTTTAAAAAAACAGGAGACAGCTTTTGAAGTTCTTGTAGTACTCAAAAGATATTCTAACAAGGAATTGTAACTGTGTCTTAAAATATCAGGAAAGCATTGATCCCAGAAAAAACATTGTCTAGTAAGTAGACTACTTTTATTGAAAGGAAAATGTGTAACTAGTTTGATACAATTTTAAGGGCAAATATAAACATCACAGACACAGTCTGAAATCACTAGTAGGTTTTGAAGGGCAGCATGGAGGATAATTCAGAGAAGAAAGGAGATTTATTCTTTTAATGGTTTAAAAAGATACCTTGTGTCTCCTTACTATCTTGAGGTTTAGACATGTGACTGTGTATTTAGTGGAGTTTTTCCCCTCAAGTGTATGTTTTGTCACCTATGCCAAATATTTACTTTTTCTGCCAGGTTAAAGAGGGCAGCTCAGACTGGTACGTGGCCTGGTGGAAGCTCTGTTCTGGATAAAACATTCTTTGCATTTGCAGTGTTATGTCCTGAGAGCTTTCTACGTAGAGATTTTAAATCTGAGCCCACACTCTGTTCTCTCTGCCGCTCCAGCGAGGTCTGTAGGGCAGAAGGGAGATCCAGGTACTTTGGCCTCCTGCCCCGCTGGTCCCCGGGGAACTGGCGGGGGCGAGCACCCTCTGCCGGCTGCAGCGCCCCGGCGGCTCCAGGCCCGAGAGGTGCACCCCATGTTCAGGGTTAGGGATGCTGCAGGTCACGAACAGGGTCCAGTCATTCTCTTATTTTCTGAGTTTTACAAGTGGCTGAATTACTGTGGAAGGTGTTCACAAAAGGCCTTGACTTTTTTTTAGTATTAGCGCCTACACTTTTCAGCCTTCTGCTTTACTTCATCTGTCACTAACACAACCTAATCCTGCTAACTGCTTCTGCTTTGGTGTGGGGCCTGAGAGGGTGAAGTGAGCATGTAAACTGATCCTTTGCCAGTGGGGCGAAAGCTTTGACTTCTGCTCCTGGATAGTTAAGGATGCAGTGACCGATTCAACGCATGTGGTGTTATTTGTAGACAAGTTGTTCAGTCTGTTTGATGCAGACAGAGCTGTGTTATATGGGGGTATTCAATTGTAAACGAGAGGAATGAATACAGTTTGCTTAAAATAGCTTTTCAGTCGAGGCCTTGGCAGGTGTTAACTTTCAACGTTAATAGGCTGATATGTTGCGCTTTTCATTTTGATTTGTCCCAGCATTTTCCTTTATGGTCCATCATTAGATATTGATCAGTTGAAGCTCATTTTGAGACTCGTTGGAACCCCAGGGCCTGAGCTTTTGAAGAAAATCTCCTCAGAGTCTGTGAGTTTACACTTTGATTGTAATATCTGCCCTTTCGGAAGTCCCAAGTTTGTGTGTCGCCCTCCTGTAGTCTATCTATAGTATGTGTTGGGATTTCTTTTCTGTTATTTTTCTTCCTTTGTCATTCTTGCTCTTGGATGGCTTTGCGTTCATATGCTCTGTGTATCTGATCTTTATTCCTCTTACCTCTGCCTGTGGCATGATTTCTTCCTTCCATATTCTCGTTTTACTGCTTCGTGACTTTTCTTTCGGTTTGTGGGTTTATACTTCGTGATATATTGTATGATCAGATGCTGCTGGGGAAGTATTTTTTACAGCTAAGAGCTTGAGGCTTGTCTCAATTATTATTTCTCCAGATTGCCTACCCAAGGATCTTTCGTAACAGGAGCAAGTGTGTTACCCTCTAAACACACACGGTCCTTTCTGTAGTATGATTGATTTCTGAAACACTACTGCCACCGTCTTTGTTTTTGTAGCATAAAATCCAAAATGCCTTTTAGGTGCTTTTATGTGGCAGCTGTTTCCAGGGCACACAGTATATAGTCTGCTAAGGATGTAACTAATTGTGCCATGTATTTAAAGGGTATTGCTGTATGGGGCCCTTTTATCAAGGTAATTGCAAAAAGCTTTCTGCAGTCTCCTTTTTAAAAGGTGACCTCTATTTTCAGCCATACTGCCATTTCTATATTGTTCTAATCTGGAATTGTGAACTTCTGCAAAGACAGTATTAAATGGCATTTAATTTTACCTGCTTCTGAAGGTGAAGTGCATAGAAGTTAGAGCAAGAGGTGCCCTAACGGTACAGGTGAACAAGTTAATGCATAGCGAGCAGTGAACTTGTGTAGAGGTAACTAGCAGCATGCTTCAGCAAGTCACGCTGCTGTTGCTGATACGTAATAAGGGATCAGCGCGGTGGAGAGTGATAAGATTATTTTGTACTGCAGTTTATGTTCTTTTTCATGTAACAGTGATGGTAAATGTGAAATGTGAGGTTAGCCTTGAATTACGTTTGATGAAGGTAGACGTGGGGTGCGAGTTGGAGTCAGTTGGTCAACTTGCTGAATATCACACCAATTTAAAAAGCCCTGGGATGTTCTACCCTTGGAAAGGTCAGAACTGAATAACGCAGGTTGCTTTGGCTGCCCTGTGAACTGACCTTAAGGGTAGTCTGGTATTTGAAGTACAGGGGATTAAGCTTATCTCTCTCGCTAAAGGTTGACTAGGTTAAGCGAAAGATTAGTTTGCATATGTAAGATTGAAGTGGGTCTTTTTTTTTTTTAACACTGCACAATAAAAAGAATAATTGCTCTTAGCCAGGTCCAAATCGAGAGTCTGTTTAAAAAAAAATGCAGTAAAGTACTGTTTCTACTAATTTTTTCCATTGTATGGGGATAGCAAAACTATTAAGTGTTTGAGGGCCTTTAGCGTGTCACTGTAATGAATTCTGTTTTTCTGCTGTATTACTTTACTTGTTCTTACTTTCTCTGTCTGTTCACTGACATCAACTAAGTTTGTCTTATGCAGTGCTAATGTTTTGCTAATTTTGCATTTATTGCCTTCTGTCACCTCGCCCACATATCAAAGTGCATTCAAAGCTGTTCAGAAGGAGGTGTCAGTTGTGAGCCGATTTCACTTTGCACCACAAGGAACTTAAGTACTTTCTATGCAGCAAGAAAAAAAGCCGGTAACCAGTGCAGAGGATACAATTTTTGGTTCTGTTTTAATTTTTGTACATTTTCCTGAGGCTGTTTGTAGCTGCAGCAGCCTAGGAAAATTTTTGAGGAGTAGCTTCAGCCAAAGGAAACATCTACTCTGGTGGCTTAAAACTGTTGGGAAATGTGAATGCAACCGTGTTGTAGTGTAATGCTACTTACGGCGGACAGAAATACTTTCTGTACTGACACTGTTACCAACTGCTCAGTAATTCGCCATTGATTTAAGTGTTCACTAGTGCAATTGCTAAACTTTTCACAAGTATTTGAAAAAATTAGTGGACCCTGCCTGTTTGGCTTTTGCCTTGTGGTTTGCAGAAGAGATGCTTTGTATGCAGCTGTTTTCTGTTTAAAATGGTTTTTGCACTGTTTTTAACAAAGCCCTTGACTAGGCACTTAAGATATTAACCAGCTTCAGCAGATCATGCGTCTGACGGGAACACCCCCTGCATATCTCATTAACAGGATGCCCAGCCATGAGGTGAGACCTGAGCAGATGAGGGGGGTTTGCAGGGCAGGTCTTCACTTGACAGTGTTCGCTGCTTCTATAAGTGATACGCTCGCATGTGGCATGGGGTGGGCAATTAACTACCTGCTCTTCAGCAAGATTTTTTTGTACTAAATGAAGACTTGAGATTTGGACAGTGCGTACTCAACCACAGACTTCTGAGACTCAGGAGAACCTGGATGTGAGTTGGTTTTGCACTGTGTGCCATGTTGTGCAGCTTACCAACAGACACCGTACTGCACGCAGCCTTACCGGGACTCCAAGGCAGTCAGCTCTTGCAGCACCTCTTTGCTTTTCAGTCTTGCATGAACCCCAAATAACGTCAGCTGTTCCTTCGCTGTCTTGAGTGGCCTTTAGTTGGGAAGGGATAACAATGATGAGCTTAGTAAGTATCAGAATAAGTAAAGAGAAGGCGAAGCGAGGAGACAGACCGTAATAACGGGTGCTTCAGGATGATTGAAATGTACTCTGTCTTGGTGGCTGGATTGTATAATACTTCAACAGAGTATTTATTTCCACAGGCAAGAAACTACATTCAGTCTTTGTCTTACATGCCGAAAATGAACTTTGAAAATGTGTTTATTGGTGCCAATCCACTAGGTAAGGCTTGCTTTTTAAATGTTGTGCTCTTCCTGAAGCTGAATGTGTCCTGGGACACCAAGACTTTTCCCAAAGTTTTGTTTTGACTGCAGAAGTCGTTCAGAACAGAGCTACATACCATTTTCAAAGTTTACCAAGTGTGTGTGGGCTGAGGGTATAAGAGGAAGAAATTGTGGGTGATGGGCGGGTCCTGAGAAACTACAGATTCCTCGTACACATTGGGCTTCTACGAGCTTACATTTCAGAATACAGTGTCACACAGCTCACTGTGTAAAAATCCCTTCTTTTCTGTTTCGGTGCTTTTGCAGCTGTGGACTTGCTAGAGAAGATGTTGGTACTGGACACAGACAAACGAATTACTGCAGCAGAAGCGTTGGCTCATGCCTACTTTGCTCAGTATCACGACCCAGATGATGAACCAGTGGCAGATCCCTATGACCAGTCTTTTGAAAGCAGAGAACTTGAGATTGAAGAATGGAAAAGTGAGTTTGGGGGACGGGAGAGAGAGCCAACCTGCTTCCCTTGTGGTCCGTTCCATAGCTGCGGTTCAACTAAGCCGTGGCAGTTAGAGGCACAAAAGAAACTGGTAAAAACGTGGGCATCCTGTTGGTTCTGAGGTCCTTATACTGAGTGAATCTATCACGTGCTGTGCACATAATTAGCATAAACCCTGGTAACTGATTATTACTATGAGCGTACAAACATGTAGGCGACATAGTTGCTCACGTCTTTATGTTTTCAAACTTACTTCCAGAGCGTTGAGGAGGTGTGAGTATCTTTTATTGTCTATGTTAGTCTGTGAGAATGGTGTAACCATTCTTTTCTTTTTCTTCTTGCTTAAACCATGTTTTTCATTTAAAATAGTGTTAGAACCTTTAAGATTGTTGCAGGTTTTCTTGCACGAGGGATGCCTTTAGTACTGCCTATTAAGTTTCCGTCATGCTTTTCCCGCCAGGCCTGACTTACGATGAAGTAATCAGCTTTGTGCCACCACCGCTTGACCAAGAGGAGATGGAGTCCTGAGAAACTGCTCTCTTCTGTTTGTCCCACTTCACTGTGAGGGGAAGGCCTTTTCATAGGGACTCTCCAATTATCGTTCAAGTGCCTCGTCACAACAATATTCTCCTTGGTGGAGGGGTTTCGTGTGTGTTGAATTGGGGAGGGTGGGGGGGAGGGAAGAAAGTTGAGTCTATGTAAACATGCTGCATGCTCTCTTGTATTCTGTGTACAGCCTGGGGCGAGCCTCTGAAGACCTGTTCTGACTGCTCTTTAGTCCCGCCAGAGTAACAGTGCTCAACCAGTTTGCACTGCGGGGGCAAGGTGGGGAAGCTGACGTGTAAAGTTTGGTTACAATCGTTGCCATTTATCAATTCTTGTACAATTAAGTAACCTCAAAGTAATGGAAGCTGTTTTATAGGCTTAGAGTCCGCTGTTTTCTTCAGGACTGAAGGTGGGGTTGAGGGATGTCCTTGTTCAATGCCAGATGGCTGATTTACGTCTGGATCTTCCTGGTACAGCAGAATGTACAGGCCTTCTAATATCTGATTCTTGGAACATGAAAAGGTTTTGTTTGAAACTGTAAATATGTTTGTGCCTTAAATGAATGGGGAGAGAGGGGAAAGGAAGTCTGGAGTGGAAAATCTCTGACCCACTGTTTTTCAGGGTGAAGGCTCCCAGATAGCCAGGCATGAACTCGATTGTAATCAGGAAATAACTTTCCAAGGCTCTACCCCTGGGTTGAGTATGCCTGTATTTTTCCCTCTTCCCCTCCTCTCGTTTGGAGGCTTCCCAGCATTAGCTCCCAGGAGACGGAGGCTGGAGAAGATTCTTGCTAGCCACACGTTTGTGTATTTTGTTCCTTAAAAGGTGGGGTGTTTTTGCACGTCGTAGCTGTATGTGCATGTAGAGCTGCTTGATTTTTGTCGTTACTTTTCTGGGGATGGCACTGGGGCAGTTAAATCGTCAGTGAAATACTTCACTGAGTACCTCAGCCAGTGCCATGAAATCACAGCATCCTTCCTCTTGTGCCGCAGCTCATTGTGAAATACCTGCCATTCTGGAGGCTTTGACGAGGAAAGGCTAAAATATACGGCATAGAAACATGCACCTTTTTCTTTGTGTTCTGACCTTCCGGTTTCAGAGGAGGAGAGCCTGGGACGGAGGGTTTCTTGCGAGATCAAATGTAAAAAATGTTCTTCAAAGAAACAACTATGGCATCTTGTGCCGGAACTTAATTAATTTCCTGAAAAGAATTTTTTTAGAAGTATTGGAATCCAAAGCAAAGAAATAAGCATGCATAAAACCACAATCTCCCTTTCACTGTCTATATCTATAAATATAAATATTTATATATAAAGCACTAACATTTACTAGAGGTTTTTTTTACCCTCTCAGATAAGAGCTTCTTGGCTGTTTTTTAGCAGGTAGATCTCTGCCTGAGGAAACATGAAAAGGGAGTATGCTTGAGTACAAACATGGTTCAAATATTTTGTATTTTACAGGACTCTGCGTGAATCAAATGCCCAGGGTTAGAGCCTGGCAGGAGGGAGGTTTCTCATCATGTTTGGGTGCTAGAACTGTCGCTGGGGAGCTCAGGAGCCCGATTTTAGGACTTGTGGAGGAGACGTTTTTAGACATTTATTTGTTGCAGGCATCCCGTGTGGGCAACGTACCTGTCTATGTGAGGAGAAAGGCTTTTGCAGTATTTTGTATTCTTGTTACCTATGGGACGGAGAGGAACTTGTTTGTAGTGGTTTTACCCCGTGTTTGAAGAGGCAGCACAAAGGGATGGGACACGGATGACAAAGCCATTGATTCTTCCTAGGCTACTTTCCAGTGATCTCTTCAGGTCAAACACTTAACAAAAGTCTGGGGTGAGATGAAGAGAGCAGTTATTTCATGCTCTGGGATAAAACTCTCCTCAGCCCAACAAAGTCAAGACAGAAAACCTCCCTTTTCTGCTGGACCAGCAGTCCAGGTATTCAAATGAAAATGTAGATATACTATGTACACCTACAGCAAGATTATTTTTATCAGCCATTTTCTGTGTAGATGCTACAGTGTGATTTCATGCGGAAATATTGCTAAAGATTTTTAAAAATACAGATGTTGTGTGTGCGTGTGTGTGTCTGTGCGCGTGTGTGAGTGGGAATGTTTCATTTGGAGCCCGTACCCGACGGGAGCCCGTGCGGCACGCACTCCCTACCTTCAGTGCAGTGCTGTTCAGCTGCCTGCGGGCTGAACAGGAGGACGCACTTCGAAGAAGAGATCGGCTATTTTGTTTCTATCCATGAATTTTGCTGTAATTGGTTATGCCAGATAAGATGTCACAATACCACTGGTCAAAAATAAAACCTATTTTTCAGATTTACTGCACTGATGGTGCTTACAAACCTCTTCACTAAATGGTTAGTTTTAGCACGGTGTGAGCTTCTCCCTCGTGTCGTACAGGATCCTGTCTGCGATGGTTGGGCGGGGGGGCCAAGGCCGCATGACTTGTTGACTGACTCTGTCTGCTGACACTGGGCTTCTGTCCGTACTTGTCCCAAGTGAACTCTTTGATACGAAACCAGCTTAGAGTGTGACCGTGAGTAATGGACCCAGAAAAAAACACTTTTATTTTCTGTTTAGTATAGGGGAGCGCTTACTCACCACAGCAGACCAGCGCTCTGCTACACGTCCGGACCTGGGACCCTTCCCCAGTAGTACTGGTTTATGTGTGTTTGCTATTTAAAAGTGATTTTTTTTTCCTCTTCAGCTGCCACCTAGTTGGTGGTGGAAGGGTGTTTATGGGAGCAGGAGCATCATGGCCCTCCGTAGTGGAGATTTTCTGACTTCCGTTGTGTATCGGTGCCATTCACGCGGAAGAATGATTGACCAAAGCTGTGTTCTTCACACTAACAAAAGCCTCAGTAACTGAAGTTCCCAGGCCTTGATAAAACCAGGTGGTTCGTGTCGATCTGAGTCAGGTAGCTGATAGCTACAACGCGTACGCTCCCCTGTCAGAGCGCTGTGCAGCCGCTGATTTGAGTAAGTACAAAGCCGAGCGGGGGGGTGTTCTCTCAGCTGTATGGAAGCTGCCTTCCTCCTTGTTTTCACCTTCTGCTTGCCTTGGTACAAATCGAGAGGAGAGGGGGGGAAAAAAAAAGCCTAAACAGGACCTATCACTTACTGTTCTCTGGGAGGAAAAAAAAAATCCAAAATAGCCAAGATACACAATTCCTGAATGTGCTCAGTTACGATACATCCTGGTTGGCAAAAGAAACCCCAAACTAAAATCAGTGAGAATTGAATTGGGGAAAAAAAATAAACTACACCTACAAAATCAAGTTACTTAACTCAAGGTTTCCTATTCGATTTGAATCGGTCACTTGAATTAATTCATCTCTCTACAGCCAAGACATGCCCTAGATATTTAGAACTCCTTAATTGTGCGCCGATTACCTGTGTGTGCACACGTGGTTGAGCAAGAGTTGTGTTCATAAAATGACAAACGGGTTACACGTCTGCTTATGTACCAGGAGTTTTTGCTGTAACACCTCTTGCTCACAGGTGTATTTATAGAACCAATTGTCGGTTTATTTCCTGACTGTGCTGTTGCTATAGCCAGGGCTTATTTACACGTATATACATAAGCAAGGTTAAAAAACCTGCCATAGCACCTTGTCCCTAGTTTGTGTTTTATAGAACAGCAGGCCTTACCCCGGCTATTTGAGGAACGCAAGGGCCAACACTAATACAGTTGCAGCGGTTGCCTGTAAGCAGGTAAAATGGGTCTTTCCTAAAACCCTGATGGTGCTTTTTCAGTAATTGCTGTTTATGGGGTGACTCGGCTCTAACCCTGCTGCACAGACCTGCTCAGAGCAGGGACGCCGCTGTGGGCAGGGTTGAGGGCTGGCGGGGTAAGAGCACAGTGTAAGCGGCTGGGCTGGCTCGTTAAGGCCCGGCTTAGTCACTTCCTTTGGAAAGTGTGTAGGATGCACCTACCTCCTGCGTGGGAGCCCCACCTGAGCCTCCTCAAGTTGGAGCAAAATGTCGAGGTGTTCTCTGCTTCCCAGGAACGGACCTTCTCCCAGGCTGGGTGTGCTGGTCTGGCGTGGTACCGGCAGGCAGAGCAGTGAACCTGGGCTTTGCGCTGTCCAAGAAGACCCGAGAAGGGGGTTGGACCTGCTGCAGGAGATGAAACCAGACCCGGCAAAGCCTGGGGCACGAACAGTTCTCGGGATGGTCCCATCTCGTGGCTGCTCTTGAACCTCCTTGCTGCAGTCACCCGGATGAAGGTGGAGAACCTCAGCCTGCGTTCACCACGTCCCCGCTCTGCTGGGAAACCACACTTGGGAGAAAATCGCCGTCGCTTCCTCGCTCTTCTGTGGATGTAACACCCTGGTGTCCTTCGTCACGAGCCTGGAGCTGTCCTCTATCAGCTGGAAAGAAGAATGTCCCTGCTTGGCTGACGAGGCGCTGTGGCTTGTCCCCCAGATTCCCCGGCTCGACGAGTCCTTACTCATCCGCTTGTTCAGAGCAGGGATTTCACGAGACCCCCCCCTCTGAGCCCCACGAGGACATTTCTCGGCTGGTGGCCCGGTGGAAGCAGGAGAGCAAGAGCTGTAGGTGACGGTGGGGCTCCCGGAGGTGTGCCTGCCGCGGGGCTGGGTGCTCAGCTCCTGTAGCAGAGTCCAGAGGCACCTGTACAAGACCGAGGCGTGTCGGGAAACCTGATGCCTCACCTCCTCCAATGTGGAGGCGGAGGGAGGAGGGCCCAAAGACATGTCCCTTCACGCTCGCAACAGCTGAAAACGGAGAAGGAGACTCGCTAGAGCCTTTTTATACCAGCGCAGGAGGCCTCGCTGTCCCGCTCTCACCCCAGAAGCCCTCCTGTACTCCAGTACTCTGGGGGGGTGGCATTCCCGCACCCGCCGGGCGATGAACATCACAAGGAGAAGAGGCTTTTACAGACAGGAGGTGAACAAAACCCTCTGGGAGCTGCCCAGGAGATACACGTCCCTCCACCCCCTGGGGTCCGGAGCCTACGGCTCGGTCTGGTGAGTGGGGTCCTGCCTGCACCGCAGGCAGCAGCAAGGGGCGAGTTGGGGGTGTTTAAAGTATTGCGCCGGGGGGGAAACGAGGAGGTGCCTGTCGGCACCCCTCCATTAGGAAAGGCCATTTGCATGTGTGATGAAGGTGGTTTGCCTCCTGCTCCGGCACGGGCAGTGGGTTGGAGAGTTGGTCTCTTGAAGAAACCGAGATGTTTCCTCCTGTGGTCGCCCTGGGTGGGCAGAGAGGGGAAAGTTTCCCACCCGAGCTCGCCTCGGCGGGCATCCTTAGGCAGTGGCTCGAGGACCAGGTAGGTAGGGCTGCCAGGTGCAGCGAGGCAGCTTGGGGTATCACCTTGACTTTGGGAGTCAGGCAGCTTTCGAGCTGCCTTGGTCTCGAGCTTGCATTAAGGGAGGATTTCTGTCTGGCAGCAAAGAGGGGGGAAAAAAATACCTGGGTGTCTGAAAGCAAGTTGTAAATGATAACAGAGCTGGGTGCTGGAACAAAGCACCGAATCTCCGGGGACAGGGGTGGCTGCAGCATGTCCTCTGCAGCATGTCCTTGCTGCTTAGTCCAAGGCAGCTGATGCTGGGCTGCCTGGGGAAAGGAGCTGGACAATACGGCCCCCACCTTGATACTGCTTCCAGCTTGAAATCATGAAATAGAAATTATTGTAAACCAGGAGCAGTAACAGACTGGGGCTTCCTTCCCGGCTGATGATAAACCTCAACCTAAGAGAGCAGCACGAGCTGCTGTTGATTAATCAGTTGGGCAAAGGTGCCTGTAGCGTGAGCGAGCAGAAGTCAGATCTTGTTTGGTTTACATTGGCGAACCGGAGGAGATGGGCGACTTTTTGAAAGGTTAAATATGAAGCAGCCCATTGATAGGATCTGAACGGAGCCCTTGTTTCATAACACACCGAGCTAAAAAAAAAAAAAACCACCAACAAGGTGTGTCCGCTTTTGTAGGTGTTGGGCAAAGTCTATCTGCGGCTATCACGGCACGGATCCTGCAACCCTGGGGCCCAGGTTCTGTCCTTGTCCCCCGGCTGCCTATTTACAAAGAGGCACCCAGTGTTTCCTTTCCCCACTTCGCTGTCCAGGTGCATTTAAGCTTCTGAGATGCTTAAATGAGTCCTGCGAAATCAGGCAAGGCTAAACTTGACTCTTTTATATTTCTACAGTGTTTTCTGGTTTTTATCATAAAGGAAAGCAGGAAGACTAAAAGAAAATAGACGGGACAAAAAAGGGAAGAGGGAAATCCTTGCCAAGTTCCCTTGCCCACCAGAAAAAAAACCAAACAGCAATAAGACAAATCTTTTACTGGTCCCTGTGAAGGTCTCGGCGGCTCTGGAGGTCTCGGGGAGGGAGGGATGGGTGCTAAAACAGCCCCAGGGTCCGGGGTGGTGGTGGTATGGCACGGACAGCGCTCAGCGGGGAGGGTTTGGTGCCGATTCCTGTACAAAGCAGAGGTGGAAGCGTGTGGAGTTAGGATTTGCTGTCCTCTGCTGGGAATTGCTGGGAAGCTTTCCTACGGCAGCGTTACTCGGAGCTGCTGGCTTTTACACCTCCTTGAGCAGCTGAGAAACTAACTCAGGAAAAACAGCGGAGACGTGTTTCTTCCCTCATTAATTCTGCCAAAATCTGTAGTGATTTGGCTTCCAGCTGAATGTAATTGTGGAAGAGTCTTCTGACCCCTCCAACGCCGGTCTTGCCGATCTCTGCCGGCTGAGGCAGGGACACAGCTCTGCCTGCCCGGTGTCATCCCGAACTTCAGCCATTCATTAAACCTGTGCTGGGAAGAACGTGGTGGGCTCTCCCGGCTGCGTCAGCTGAATTAACTCTTAGCTGTGCTTCACGGCAAGGGTGAAAGTAATGCTGTTTGTGCTGGGCAGGCTGAAGCTCCATCACCCCAACTCTCCTGTGTTGAGTGGTGGGGTTCCACGCTCTGTAGGCCAGCAGCTGGGAAGGCGGGTAAGAACACGCACCCTCAGATTAGGAGATCTGCCTTGAATTCTGCAGAAGCTGTTTGACTGCGTGGTCCGAGTCCCTTCCTCTTATTTCCCTGGCTCCTCGGAAAACTTTACACTGAGTTGTCCCCTCTGCCGACACCTGCTGAAGTCCTGAAACTGAGACAACTCTTTCGCTGTCCTCCTAAGATATCCTGTGGCATCTTCAGCGCTGAAGCTGCCTCGCGTGGCTATTCCAGCACTTCCTTTGCTTTTCCCTGCTGAATGCATCGACGAAATCGCCGTCGCACCTCTCAAAGGATGTGTCTGTGCTCTTGTCACGCACAACTTAGAGCAGCTGGAAGGGACCTCAGTGGCCAAGAGCAGGAGATTGCCTGATGGTATTGCCTGATCTGCTCGCTAGATGAGAGCTGATGATAGCCCAGACTGCCAGAGGACGCACCACAACTGATCGCTTGTGGCTGACAATCGCAGAAAGCTGTGCAAGAGAATTCCAAGATTTGCAGCAAGGACCTGATAATCCCTCCTCAGCATTGAACCGAAGGGAAGGCCACGCGGAGCAGGATATTCCCACCTCTCCTAATGCAATCAGACCTAAACCCAGCAAAATGCGTTGATTGCGTTATTATAGATGGCATTTCCCTGTTCATTTATCAAGTCTTGCCTCTGAGTGATGGCCCTGGAGGTCACGGTAACGTTGCTTTACAGCTTTATGGTACCTGCCCCTCCCCATCTCGGGTCCTCCGAGAGCCTTGAGGAAGGAGCGGTGGCTGGAGCCCGGCAGTCAGGGACCGTGGCAGGGTGAATCACGCGTCCCTTCGGAGAAGGAAGCAGGGGCAATGTGTTTGTGCGAGGCTGGAGGACGCGTGCAAAGCACTAATGCCAGCGTTCATGTGGGCTCGGTTACCCTGTGCAGCTAAAAGCCGTGGGACTAAACATGCCGATTTATAGCCCTTCCGTTTCCCCAGGAGATGAGATAAGGATTTACAAAGCGGGGGGAACTGCTGTGGAAACCCACAGCGCGATTTGGCAGGGAAAACCCTTTCTTCATCTGTTTGCCTCTTGGAGGGGTCAAGGAAGGGCTGAGACACCAATGTGTAATGGGCTGCACCGAGACCCCCCCCAGAAAACACCACCGAGAATGCCGAATTGCAGCTATCTCTGCCTGAGGACCTCCCTCCTTATCTGGTGAAACCTGGGGCCTGATGGAAGAGCCTCCAGAAGCGGAGAAAGTGTCGTGGGATCGCCCTATCCAGCTGCAAACAGCAAATGTGACCAGAGGGAATAACACGTCACGTCTCCAGCGACGGCTGTTGTACCATGTTTTCATTACCTTTATAAAAAGACTCTCATTTTCAGCCAGACCTGCTCTTACACAGAAGCATACGTTATAGCATCAAAGATGCCGAATGCAGAATTAATTCCAGCAGCCTGTATTTTCAGTGCGTGGCATCCACTGTCTTTGCTCCAGAATACAGCGAAGGCGGCTGACGTACCTTAAAAGACAACAGCCTCCAAGCAGACGGCAAAGCAGAAATTGCTTTATTCCCTTATCTCCATGCGTTAGGGAAGGAGAAGGCAGAGTTAGAACTAATCCTGACCTTTAACCATTTGTGTTTCCCTCTTCTCACGGCTCTTAGCTCCAGCTTGTTTCTGCAGGTTAAAGGGAATAAAGACGAGCCACTAATGCTTTGCTTGGTATCCCACCTAGTCCTCCAAAGAGCACGGGCTGTGCTCTGCTGCCCAAAGTCATATGGGGGAACATCTGTGTCTGCAGAGCTCCACTGGGTTTCTCAAAGGGCCTTTCTTTCCTGTTCTTCTGTGAGCTCTGGAATTAGCTCTTCTCTAGAAGACCTTTGGTATTGCAAAATTTGTTAAAGCATACTGCCAATGTCAGAACTGGGTTTTATTTCTCTGCCGCAGTTCAGCCATAGACAAGAAGACAGGGGAGAAAGTGGCTATCAAGAAGCTCTGCCGCCCGTTCCAGTCGGAGATCTTTGCCAAGAGAGCGTACAGAGAGCTCATGCTGTTGAAGCACATGCAACACGAGAACGTAAGTACTCATTTCTCTCCATTCCTGATGAAACAAGGGGGTTTTCTTGCCACCTGGGAGCAAGTCCTTTCTGGTGGCATCACCTTTATTTTAATTGAGAGGTCCTGACATTTGGCACGTGCAGGCAGTCTCGGGGTTTAACTGCTGCCTGTCTGCTGCGCCCAGTTGGCACCAGGCTGAAGCAGATGTGTAATGGGTGCTCCCGTGTATTAGTAAGAGGAAAAGCAGCTGCGCGGCATAGTGAGGAGTCCTTGGATTCCTCAGATGGAGTTCTCGGTGCTCACCCGTGTGCGTGTGCCGTTGGAGAGCTGCTACCTGAGTCCCACGTGCACAGCAAATGCTTATGTGCGTGTGCCATTGGAGAGCATTGGAGACCTGAGTCCCACGTGCACAGCAAATGCTTTCCAGGTTTAAATGTGGATTTCTCTTCTCCATCAGGTCATTGGGCTGCTTGATGTCTTCACCTCCGCCGCCTCCTACCAGGGATTCCAGGACTTGTAAGTTTGGGGTTTGCGTTCGCTCTGTCTAGACTCAGCCGTTGCCTAAGGCACCTGGGACGCAGCAGCAGGACAATAGGTCGGGTTGAGGTGCAGTCCAACAGACTGAGTTGAAAAGGGGCCAGACTAAAGCCAGACATCCCCAAATAACAAGGAGAATCAAAAGCACAAGTCAGTTCCCGTGGCTAAAACACCCCGAATACATAAACAGTTCCCATGCCGTGCTCACAGCTGGGAGAACACAGTATATATAGACCAACGTATGTAATGAAGAGGCATTACATTCCATGGTGTATCACATGTAGCGTGATCCACGCTAACGCACTGCCTGTGTGACTGCTGAGCTAAGAGGCTGCACTTCGGAATGGGAGGAGTATTGTTCATCAGGCCCTGGGGTAATTAAACTGAGAATTTTAAAGATCTGGCTTTCTTTTCATCTTGATTCCGACTGTTCTTGTTTGTTTTTTTTTTTTTTTGGCATTTCCCTCAGTGTTGATGGTCAGGTTGGACGAGCCTTTTTCCCTTCCCCATCCTTCGGCACAAGCAGCGTGCGCCTGGGTTTGGGTTTTCAGCTGATGGCTGGGTATTTAGCAGCCTGAAGCGTTTGAAGGTTCTCAGAGCAGTTCCTGCTGGAAGACCGTCAACTAGCAGTCTCAGTAGGCAGGCCAAAGGCTGAAGGAAGCTAGATGTTGTCTTCCGAGGCAGGGCTAGAGAACATTACAAAGATAAACTTGGGAGCCAACGCAGCAGTTTTGCAAGACTCTTTAAAGCTGCGCAAGATGTTTCAGCTCCCAGATGGTGTAAAGCCGTCCGGCATTGAACATCACTTGAGGTCTAAAGTAAGCTAATTCAGGATCGTTAAAGTTTGGAAGATCCTTGTTCTTACTTGATGTCAGATATCTGATTTGAGGGGAGGAGAAAGGGCAATTATCAGAGCAGGTCAAAGTCCCAGCATCACTGCAGGCTATGCTAGTTAGCCAGGAGCATTGTCACAGTAACTTGCCTTAGTCACAGTAAGTTACACAGCCACAGGAAAAAAACAAGCGAGAACAAGGCTAGCCTGGTTCCCTGTGTTTTTCTTCTAGACTCAGGGCCTTGTCTTACTGCCTTTTAGCTACCTGGTGATGCCATACATGCGGACAGATTTACAAAAGATCATGGGACATGAATTCAGTGATGAAAAGATCCAGTACCTGGTCTACCAAATGCTGAAAGGGCTGAAGGTAGGTGGGTCTGGAGGAGTTTAGAGACTCCCCGTGTCTCCTCTACACATCACCTCTGGGTTAACCGTAACAAAACCCCCTTCCAACACCGTATAGGAAGATTTGGGGGTTTATGGCATCCCCTGAGACTGGATATTTGCTGTTGAACTACCCTTGTTCCAGCACACATCAATCAAAATGACTGCTTGTTCACATCAGTCAATCGGGTATCGAAGCAATCAGCAGTCATAGACCTTGCGACGGTTTTTCTTTGACAGCGGCTGCGTCACTCTTTGACTTGCTCAAACCCTTAGCAAAACCCTGCGTAGAAAGGAGGCGGCTGGTAGCAAAGGGAGCTTCTGCTGAATTCCTAACAGAGGCTCTCGGGGGAGAAGAGAAGAGGGAATGATTTCTTTATCCAATAGAGTAAGGAAGGAACGTGCTGCTTTAACTGGCTGTGAGAGAGCAGAAAGCAATCACTGCAAACCCCGAGATGTAGAGACAATGTCTTAATGCTGCCCTCCATAATATCCCTCACCTGGAGTCAGAGCAGTGGCTTACAGGTGTTAATGAGTTCACCTCAATAACACCTTTCCCCAGATCACTCTTATCTTGAGTTTAAATAAAGGGGGGAAGAACACACCGAAGGTTTAACTGGTGTGGTAAAAGCCCCGTAGTCAGTTTTTGCAACTCGAATCTGATTTTCAGTCTTGTGTTTTAATTATGAGATTTTTTTTTCCCGCATAGTTTAACACCCAAACCAACAAAGTTTTCATGTCATCTACTGACCATGTTCCTACCTGTAACCCTGATGCCTTTGTTTGATAGTTTAAAGCTATTAGTTTATTCGCCGTAAGGAACTGTTGCTCCATACCTCCTCTTCTGCTCTGTGCCTCTTCTTTAGACTGGCAATATAATTGCAAATACTGTCAGAAATTCAGTGCGGAGATTTCTTTTCAAACTGCTGCCCTGGGGGCCGGGGACCTGCAGCAGGTGCAGAGCTGTGTTCTCAGCAAGTTCTTGTTTGTAGCTCTCGTTTCTCTGCTGGAGAACAGAAAGTCTTGCCTGCCGGTGATCACATTGTGGCTTCTCTTTTTATTGCAGTATATTCATTCAGCCGGAATCATCCACAGGGTAAGTTCATGTGCGCTGTTAACTCTGATTTTTGTCTGTTTAGGAGAAACACAGCTTGGTTATAAAGTTAATTAATTAAATTCCTAAACATTGTTTCACTAATAGCCTTGTCTGCTCTAAGGTCTCTCTGGCGTCCTCCCTCTTTTCCCTCCTACGCCCTATATGTGTTTGGATTTGCTCATTTCTGCAGCATTTTGAGGAAATGCTGTATTTTCTGATGAGCTGTGAAGCATTTTATGATGCTTTTTTGAATTAAAACTGTTTAAGAAAAAATAAAATAGTAATCTAAAGCTGTGCAGTCTAGCAGGCACGGTGTCTTTGCTGTATCAATATTGGACTCGGGATGGTATGGGATCTCGTCAAAGGCAAGCGGAGGTTTGGCTGAGGCTCGTGTTGATGCGTTGCAAATCAAAACATCCTTACTGTTCTGCTCTTGTCTGTTGTAGGACCTGAAGCCAGGCAACCTGGCCGTGAACGAAGACTGTCAGCTAAAGGTAGGTGGAAAAGCACCACGTTGTAGCATGTAGCATATCAGATCGTGGAGGAACTGCTCTGCCAGCAGGAATTCGGCACCGTCATGTTTCCTCTTGCCTTCCGAGACTCGATCCGAGGAGTTTCATTACTTGGCGGTTGCAGGCAGTGGGAAATGCTCACCTGCTGATGTAACTTGCTGAATCAGGGCTCAAGACTTCGAATGAACATCCTGTCGCCGTAATTCCTGCGGCATGGCAGTTCGTAACGACTTCCTAAACAAATTCAATACTGCTGAGCAACACTTGCGTTAGGTGAACGATCCCTGAAGGATAACTGGATTCAACCACAGTTACCCTTTGGTTCTCATTCACATGACGGTTTGTGATTCCAGACAGAGTTATTTTCAGTATTGCTCTGAAGGGTTTGCTTGCAGCTCGCTGGTGCAGTGCTCTAGCACGCGTTTTCTGTAATGTATGTTACAGGGAATGGGCTCCGTTGCCCGTAAAGGTTGGGTCAAGCTATGTTCATCTCCAGTATTGAGGGAGATGCCATCCCCTGTCAGCTGCAAGGTGTTTTTATAGGAAAGGGTGGCCTGGAAGCATGCCTTCGCCGCCTGGTTGTAGAACAACTCAATTAAATAAAGCTCATAGAGTTGAAACTTAAGCTTCAAGAAAGGAATTGGCCTTCCGGGTAGCACACAGCGCTGATCCTTTCGGCAGGGTCTTCACGCAACAACTGGTTTTACAGCCGGCTTGCAATTAATAGTGGAATTAAGACAAACCTGTTAGTTCTTTGAACCGTCCCGTGGGTGGCTGTGGTGTAGTTGGAGCTTCGTTGTTATCTGATTGGATCTGCTTCGTTTCCTCTTAGAAGTAGATTCTTGCTTGCCCGTAGGATTTCTCTTTTCTTTCCTGCCCTTCCTTCTCCCTCTTCCTTTGGTGAACTGCAGATCTTGGATTTTGGCTTGGCCAGACACGCTGATGCTGAAATGACCGGCTATGTGGTTACACGCTGGTACAGAGCCCCAGAAGTCATTCTGAACTGGATGCATTACAACCAGACAGGTGAGCTGCCTTGCTTCAGCGGTGTGACTCTCTGGTGACGAGCCCGGGGATCCCGCTGTCACGCCTGGGTCAAATCTCATGTAATCCTCCAGATATTTTTCTTCTTTATCATCAGTGTCCCCTGGAGCAGAGCGAGTCCCAAAGCTGTTGTACAACTCTCAAAGCTAGTGCCTGTGGGAAATGATGAAAGCAGAGATTTTAGCAGTATGGAAAGAACAGGGGAGGGTGGAAAATGGGAGTGAAATTTGAATCGGTGCCTGCTGCAAGCAACAAAGCAAGCAACAGCCCCAGCGATCATTGCTTCCTTTTTACTGGCCTTTTTTATGTATTTTTTTTTCTCCTTTTTCTCTCTGAACAGTGGATATCTGGTCTATTGGCTGCATCATGGCAGAAATGCTGACCGGGAGAACACTGTTTAAAGGAAAAGACTGTATCCTTTCAAGCTGAACCTTTTCCCTGGGGGGCGGGGGGGGCAGTAATAATTCTTGGCGTGTGTAAAAGGGCTTTTATGAAATAAGCTGCTGAGAGAAACAGGTGTCAGTTTGGTTTACCAGGAGGTAATCGCAGGGACCAGCGGGTCTTTTGGTGAGGAAAACAGAGAGAAGATAGGAGGGGGCCAACCCACCCTTAGAAATACACCTCTGTGCTGGCCGCGTGCGTTCTACAGCAGCGGTCTAACCTTGCATGGCCACAGCTCCATCTCCAAACCTGAGGGCACGTGCCCTGGCAGAGTTGTGCCAGCAAAATTATCCGTTGATGAAAATGGCATCCCGGGAGGAGAGCCTTGGAGTTCTCTTTGCCAGTCTACTGAGTCTCCGCTTGTGCGGCTCTGTTGGGTTTGTATCATAACCTACTCATAGCTCCCACGGGTCCTCAGGCTCTCCTGCACCCAGCCTGCAGGCTGAGCTGTTGGGTGGTGTCCAGGGCTCGCTCCTAGACGGGTGATCTTTAACGCAGCCTGCCAGACCTAGATCAACTGACTCAGATCTTGAAAGTAACGGGGCATCCAGGAGAAGACTTCGTGGAGAAGCTGGAGGACAAAGCGGTAAGACGGTTCACTGTGGATTCAGGTTCTTGCTGGCAGAGGTGTGGTGGGGAGAGGTTAACTTGGCCGTGTCTTTGAGATGGGAGAGGTCTTGCTTCTACAGCAGCAAAGAGGAGCGACAGCAGCCTTCCCCCTTGGCAAGGAAGATGTTTCTCTTTGGTAGTGGCACATCTGATGGATTTGGTATTGCGTTGGGAACTGGTGTGGATCGCAGGGACTCCCGGGTGAGGTGCCTGACGCCACAACAAACCACTGACCTCCTCTGTTCTCCAGTTTGGCCCTTAAAGCAGGAATGTTTCTGTATCTCAATTGATAAAAATAGTTTCTTGCAAACTGGTCGCTGGAATGTGACATCTGGGATGATTTGCTGTTCGTTTGCCTTGGCTCCTCTGAGCCACGAGACCCCAGAGCTGTATTTCCCAGCCCCCTGGCACTTGTCCATGTGCAGTAAATGTCTGTGCTTTCCTTTCTTTTTCAGGCTAAGAGTTATATCAAGTCCCTTCCAAAAATCCCCAAGAAGGATTTGTCCGTGCTTTTCCCCAAAGCCAATCCGCAGGGTAAGTCATCTCCAGCATTTCTCACAAGTTCACAGCTGGAAAGGAGGCAGGCTGACCGCCACAGCTGCGACGTTTTTTTTTTCTTCTCCTCTTTCTCATAACTTCTTGCTACTTCCTCCCTTGTAGGTTGTGCCCCTGCCCCTCCCCAGGGCAAATATGTATGAATTAAAAGCAAAGTTATTCTTTATTGGCATTCGAATGGCAATGTTCTGCTGTTCTTGGCCATTTACTTGATTTTATTTATTTATTTATTCTTTATTTAATTTTTAAATGACACGGCCTGTAATGTACAATATTTAAGGAAGAGAGAAACTTCTGACTCTCGTATCAACAAGCCAGAAGAGAGCGGGTGCTGGATGCAATGGGATGTCTAGGTTGTGGGATGCAAACTATGGGATTAAGACAGTTGCATATATCAGCTGCACTTGGTATGAGAGTTGGGATGGATTTTGGCTGATATTGGCTTCCAGAGCTTGTTGCTTGTAGCCAAGCAGGTGATATTATCATCAGTAGCATTTAGATAAACAAACCAGCTCTTCTTTTTTCATTAGTATTTCCCAGCCCCACATCTAAGGCATCATAGGTTTTGATAAAGTGCTAAGAGAGCCCCGCAGTCTTTCCAGTAATCTTATTTTTACTTTTTTTTTTTTGAGTACAGCGTAGATCACAACTGCTTGTTGAACACCTGGATCTATTGATACTTAACAGGCAGCTGAAATGTGTAATTTTCAGGGTAAAAATTGATCTCTTGCAAGGAGCTCTTTTCCCAAGTAGATTAGAGGTGAGAAGGAGCAAAACTCTTCTAAAAGCTGAAAGGAAGAAAGCATTAAGCTGTTAAAACCAAGGGGGAACGAGGCCGACAGACTTGTCGGTATCTGAGTTTCCTGCCTTCCTGTTTCCCAGGGATGTATAGATTTCTGCATGGATTACTCACGTTAAGACTACTTTGAGTTGCAGGGGTCAGAGTGAAAGCAAGTGATTAAGACTGAAAAATATCTTGACGGTACTGGCTCGCTGCTTATGTTCTCGCAGCCCCATCCACGCAGCAAGGCTTATTCAAGACTAATTTGTTATTTCTGCACAATTTACACCTCCGGTTCTGTTAGTAAGAGCTCCCTGAGGCTGCTGTTGGGCAGATTTTGCATCCCCACTGACGGGAGCTCCACGCTACCTTGGCCAGGTTGAGGAATCTCTTTCGCTTTCAGGTCTGGAGATGTAGTACTGGAAACACTAGTCCCATCACTTGCAGGGTTGATGCACAGGATGCCTGTTCTCCACCGCCCCTTGCTTAGCCCTGTTCCTGTCTTCTCCTACAGCAGTGGACCTGCTTGATAAGATGTTGCAGCTGGATGTGGAAAAGCGCCTTACAGCGACGGAGGCATTGGCTCACCCCTATTTCGACCAGTTCCGAGACATTGAGGAGGAGACAGAAGCGCAACAGTCCTATGATGATTCTCTGGAACATGAAAAGCTTTCGATAAATGAATGGAGAAGTAAGTTTAGCTTCTTTGAAGTTCCTGTCCAGCACGGGACTTTCCTGCCTCTCTTTCTTTCCTGTGCACGTGCTGAGCGAGGCTGCGATTGCCTGCTGGTGCCTCGATGATCGCGCACATCTCCCTTTCCTTGCTCTTGCTTTTATGCATTCGGCAAAGATCCCTCCATCTCTTCAGGCTCTCTTTTTGCCTTTCTGCTTTCTGTCTCTTCCTCCCAGCTTGTACTTGCCATATCCTCTCCACTGAATGCCTCCTCTCTGCACGTATAACAGTCAAATTTTCATTTCTGTCCTCTAAAATCACACACGCTAGTGATATTCACGACTATTTTGTTCTGTTTTTCTAGAGCATATTTACAAGGAGATCTTGTCCTTCAGTCCCATTGCACGGAAGGACTCAAAGAAGCGAAGTGGCATGTCATTATAGCGACCGGTGCGGCTGTGGCTGGGATTCACTTCTCCTGGATGACGGGTTGGATTTACTCCACGCTGTCTTGCTGGTGGCCATCGTTTTGGCCTGCGGGACTTCTCTGTGTGCCAACGCAAGGATGACACCGTGCTGCGGCCACTGGACTTTGTTCTACTAAAGGGGGAAGCACCCCGAACAGTTTTCAACACAAGAGATAAATATATTCTCATTGAAACTTTAAGTGGGAGAATTTTACCTGGTGTTTCTTCCCCCCCCCGCCATTTGTCCACTTGAGAGAGCACGGGTTTCATTGCTCCCTTCTCATTAGTCTTTCCAAGCACAGGTTTTAGTACATTAATTAGGGATAAGGTAAAGAAAAAGGTAAAATTGTCTGGGAAGTGAGTCCCAAGCAAAATAATCAGAAATTAGTGAAATTCAGCATAACAAGACTTTATCCAGTCTAACTCTGAGCGCGTCCCCTTTCCCTGAGCAGTCAAACAGCATCCAGCACAGCGAGGTTGCTGGGACGGTGTCGGCTCCAGGACACCACGGGAATCCAGTCGATCATGGGTCCGTGTTCAGAGCAGCTCCAAACTCTTGCTATACACACAACTCCCTGCTAGGGTGCTTCCCCCTCCGGACGGCCGCTCTTTTTCGCTCTGCTTATTTCATTCCCTGGGTTTCGATCAGTGCCGTCTCCTCCGTACCGCCAGCTGCAAACACGTCCTGGGAATTCAAGGCCACTTTCCCACCTTGATAGACCGGGTATCCCAAGGAGCCGGGTTATCATCAAACAGTCCTGCTGCCCCTTCTTTCTGCTCAGCCTGGTTTCCCCAACCGTTCTCTCTTCGCCACGCTTATCTCTCGCTGAGCACCCTCTCCCTGGAGTCACCCTGCCTGCTCCAGGCTGCCTTTATCTCCCGGCAGGGCTGGTGTTTCCTTACACAGCCCAGCGATGTTGGCCCCTTACATTCTCCATTCCTTCTGCTCTGCGGGGTCAGTTGAACCAGGGATCCTCTGCTTCAGTTCTCTTTTGAGGGCCGCTCGTTCCTCAGTATGAAGAGACATTCAAACCGATCATTTGGAAAATGGTCAATTGTCAGTCCTAAGGCTCAGCTCTCAAACTAACAAAAAGTTCATATATTGGGGAGAAAAAAAGCATAAAAATATGTTGCGTGAACGATCTAGCATTAACAGAAAGAGGAACACAATAATTCGGTGAGCGCAGAAAATAATTTTGGATATCTTAGTTTCTTGGTATCAGATTAGCTCCTTCTGTCAGCATCATTATAAATTGCATCTAAGATAATCTTATTAAATAGAATCTCTCTCAAAAACCACTACAGAGTAGAAAACATCCTGGAGAGTAAGAGCTTCACAGATTCCCTTTACTGCACTTTCATTGAGGTTTTGCATTTCTTATTTGTCTATGCAAATTTTAATTAATTCACTTATTTAGTGAGTAATTCTTGGTAGCGACAAGAAATTGCCTTCTCTGAAATGCTCAGAGTCCCCGTGTGCGACAGGGGTGGGACTGTGCAGTGCTGCTGGCGCTCAGCTGGGGAGAGCGCAGGTCCCCGGCCAGCTGCACCCAGCCCTGCTCTAACACACCGTTTCTTTAGTAGATGTAGAGTTTTGTACGAGATGAAGAACAACACAATAATCTCGGGTTTTTTTGCTCCTGGATGTGGACAAGAAAAAAAAAAATGTGCGATGATGTGAGAAAATCCAGACAACTTGCCTGGGTTTAACTGCTTTGGAAAGGTGTTGAGATAGCATTGTGATAAGAAGAGTACGATAGGTAAAACAGAGGGCTGTTGTTTTATGAACCCAGACCAACCAGCCAGTCATCCGGATCCTCCCTCCAGGGAAAGTTTGTTCCATCTTTTGGTTCTACAATATGCTAAATAGTTCATTCAAATTTAAAAGTACGTTTTGATCTTTAAAGTAATTCGACTTACCGGAGGTGTACTGATACCATCTGAAGCCTGGCATTTTTTTGATGCGTATGCGTCAGTATGTCCCAAGCCACCACTCAGGTATGTGGGTGTTTGCTATAAATGTTGTTACCATTAGAACAGAGGAGAGATGAAAAATAATTACAAGAACAAAATAAGCGAAGGGGATCTGAAAGTGACTGCGGTGTCATTACAACTGTGTCTGCAGGTTCTCGCTTTGGTGAGTTTGGGTCTCATGAGCACCGAAACGCTCTCGTGCTTTAGAAACCAAGTGTAACTGATCCCCAGGGTGGGATGCTTCAAGATAGCAAATGTGGAAGAGCAGGAGTCTGGGGAGTAAGGGGACTCCAGGCTAGTTTCAAAGTCTGGGACTTCTGTTATGTAAATTCCTGGCTCCCCCTGACAGCCCTCTTTCTCATGCATCTTGATGATCTTGTAGACAATTCCTCTCATTAGTCCTTTTGCAATACATCCCATACGCACTTGTGTGGCTTATTCCAGAGCACCGTAACTGCTAGGTCTTGACCACTGATTTCTGAGGTGATCTCCAGCAGATTGGACAGTACAGAGAATTTTTCCCTTCCTCCTCTATGCTTGGAAGTTCTCATTGTCCATATGCTAAACAGTTAATTGCCAGAGTTTCCTAAGTACAATGGGGTCTTTGGGGGCTATTTATCCCCCCCCTGCAGTGCTACAGAATAGATTTTTTCCTCTGACAGGCCTTGATTTATTCCTGCCTAAAATATGAATGGGTATGCTTCACTCCCACCAAAAAAAAAAAAAAAATCTTTAAATATGTATGCTGGTTTTGGCCGGGGTAGAGTTAATTTTCTTCATAGTAACCAACGTTAAACCCGATGGTCTGGTCCACAGGGACCAGGGGTGGAGGTTGCAATAGAAATACCTTTAAATTGTTGTAACCCGGGATTTGGGTTGCATGTTACAGGAATTGCTATAGCAGGGACCACCTGAACGGACGGAGGAGAAGCCTTACAAGACGCAGCGCAAGTGCAGCAGCGACCCGACCCGAGGTGGCTTTGGGGCCCTGTAACTCCACGCAACGCACCACCTCTCCTGTCCTGAGTGACCACCATCACAGACGGAGCCCAAGGCCATGGACTAAATGAACTCGGTGGACGTTTTGTGGACATTTCTGGACGTTTCATGGACATTTTATAAGGGTGGTCCATAGACCAAGGGAATGATATCTGCGTATTGTATCAAAGGATGGGAAGGGAGGGGCACAATACGTATTAGGACACCCCCCAACCTGTCACATACTCCCTTAAACACCACTTTGGTTAATAATCACAGTCCTGGAAATGCTAATTGCTAACCCAAAATTTACAGAGGTACTTAAAAAATTAGGTTGGTTTTTTTTTTTCTGCTGTTTATACGCTGAGCAGGATACCAGTGCACAGCCATCTGTAAAGAGTGATTCTCTAATCAGGCACCTACCTGCAGCTTTGCCGATGGATGGAAATTGTGAGTTTTCTTGAATGGACTCAAGTAAACCTCTGGATAGGTTACACGTCCCTACACATTAACGTCAGTGCAGAGGAAAGCCTGAACAGTAACGGAGCGATGATTCACTCGGGTTCCATACCTTCTGTGGTCTGACAGAGTCTGAACAGGCGCACAGACGTAGGCCATCAGTCCCTTTTGCAGGGGTGGTCTGGGAAGCTATCGAGTGTAAGGCTCACCAGCAGTAACAAATCTGTCAGACGTGAACCAACGCAAAAAGTACATACACGGATACAGATCTGGTTTGGACCTACAGTTCTTCCCTACAATTACAGGTGCTTGGCTGCCAAAGAGCTGTCCAGCTCTTAAGATCTCTTGCCAATGTATTCTGCCTGCAGTTGACAGCAAAAAAACTACAAGTATCTCTAAATTACTGCAATCGCATTCCAAATCCTTTCCTGTACGTTGGTGGCAACGCACAGATCCACCCTGCAATCCACAGGTGTGACTGCGGCTCACGCAAGCGTATCTGAACTAGCTTAAAGCTACTGAGCTCGGTATTAATAGCACAGTCCGTGAAGTAGTGAGGAGCTCAGCACAAGCTAGCCTGAATATTTACTCGGGGTCTTCAGGAAGTTTTTAAGCCTGTGCTGAATCTGGTGTATCTGCAGATCCACAGCTTCTTGAGATAGTCACTAGATAGTTCAACGCTAGGCAGGTACGACTGTTAGTTGTGATAACACCTTTGGACTGCAGCGTAAGTATCTTCTTAGTTGGCATCTTCTTCCCAGTTACGGTCGGTCAGGTTCAGCTGGTCGTTCCAAAGTCCATCCCGAGGGACACGTGCCAAGAGGCGAGCATCTTCTCTGTGCGAGAGCTCAGAGCACGCAGTCCCCAGGGCTACAGAAAAGTATCTGTTGGGAAGGTATATGAACTCAGTAATGCATGCAGTATTTCTCAACTCTCCACCCCTTCTGTAGCTGCTGAGTCATTTTGGTTTGGTTTAGCCAGGACGTACGCTTTCAGTACTCTCTAATTTTCTTCTTTGCCTTAAGTGATATCCGGTTTTGCTGTACAAACCTCAACTAAGGGAAAACTGCAACACTACCAGAATTTTCTGAGCTCTCATCTCCGCTGGGAACTGGACAAGGTGATGTTGTGTTTCTTGGCTGTCTTTCCGTTGCAGCTCATGCCGTGTAGTACTCGGGATAACCCTCCAGCGACTGTAGCTTTTTGATATGACGGTGTTGATGTTATCCTGACGTAGCCGCACAGATGCTCCGCACTGATGAGATACGGGTTTCTCTTGGCTCATATCTCCCTGGGCCATGTACAAGCCCTTTGCTTCACTCCCCTCTTAGGTAGGGGCAGTGAGCACAGAACCATTGTGATGTTCCCTCAATTCCCTTGAAATTCAACATTTTTGTTACGAAGCGCTCCAAAGAGCTGGGCTGGAGGACATGCAGTGGTGTCCTGCTGTCTTGAAGAACCCCAGCTTGATGAGAGTAAGGGACCATCCTTTCTTCTTCCTGAGTGCGAGAGAACCTGCATTTTCCTCAAACGGTGGAAGGGAGAAGTTCCAGCTGCATCAGTCAAACAGCA